GAGCAGTCTGAAGCACCACATTCAAAAACCCCAAAAAGGACCCGAGCGGGGACAAACCGAAAACCAGCACCAGCTGGGGAATAGCCCCAAATACGCGCAAAAAATGCCCACCTGGGCGGGGGCCCTTCCCCACACCCCTAGATGCAACCTTTCGGTTGGTAGCCACGGAGGCTAGCTTTCGTGATAAGTCGCCTGGAACTGCTGTAACAAAGTCTCCTGAGTAGACGGTTCCAAGGCGCACACGGTCTCACCGACTTGCCGCCTGTGCTCAGCCCTCAAGATTTTCGTTCTAGCAGCTCGCCAGGCCGCCCGAGCACGGGACAAGACATATTCTTAAGGCCTCCTGCTTCGCCTTGGCCATCGCGGCGCAGACACCTAGCACTACAAACCAAAAACACAACAGCCCAAAACTATGGAAGGACAAAGAAGATGCGCAACGACATGCACACAGCACACTGCAGCCGAACGAGAAAGGCTCGCACCAGAACGGAACTGATACATAGCGCAGATGCCACCGACACGCACTCTAGACGATGCGCAGACATTGTAAGCACGAGCTGTCGTCGGAATTGACCGGGGATGCCCGTGGACTGGCTGATTAATCCATCTCGGTAAACTCGACGCTTGTGCTAGGCGGCTTGGCAGTCTTGCTAGCTCAGCGTCACAAATCGGAGCTGCATCAAAGCCCTGGTCGGCAAGCCGGTACCGCTGCTGCAGCCAGAGAAGGCCGCGGCGACCTGCTCCGGATGGCAAGGCAAACGGCGTGAGCAAGGCTCCGGACCATGGAAGTGCGGGAGGCCAGAACGTCAGAGTCACCGATGCCACGAGTCTGCTGCAAGAATTGTCCTGACAGAATGCACTCACCGGCATCGCACTTGAATGTCGTGAGGATGTCCCAAAGTGCAAAAAGCATCGCACCTTCACGAACCAAAATGCCACAGTCACATCAGGGACGCAACATGTCAGTGCCCAGCTGCGAGTGCAGGCTTGCTTTCTCCCCCTGATGATGCGGCACTGTTTGTTCGTCGTTGTTGCCTTGTAATGTTCTAACGTCTCCCGGAGGGGACCCTGCCTCGGCCCTTGTGGTGGCCCGCGTGCACCGGATGCAGCCTAATCACTTCCCCCCTAACAATAAACGTGCATTGGGGCGAATCCTCCCGAAATCATCCCTGCCCTTTAAAACCTATTCTGAATTAGGGGGAGGGTTTCGAGGCTCCAAATACCCTTAGAGTCTTAGAGCACGGTAACAGCAAGAGCAAGAGCAAAAGCCAGAGCAACAGCAGGAGCAAGAGCAGCAGCAAGAGGATAGAAAAAAAAGCAGGAGTAAGGAGGATAGGAAAAAAAACAGCAGTAAGAGCAAGAGCTGGAGAACAGCAAGAGCAGGAGCAGGCGCACGAGACGCAGCAGAAGCAGGAGCAAAAGCCAGCGCGGGAGCAAGAGCCAGAGCAGGAGCAAGAGCACAACCCCTCAAAAGTGGCAGTAGAGATAAACACACGCCCAATAATAAAACAGTTTCCGATTTTTTTCGGGGGCCGTGTAATATTAAATTAGGGGGAAACGATTATTCACATGTTCATCCGATCGCAGCCTCTGTTGTGGCCGAATGACGCACAAATGCCAACCGATACTGTAGTTCTCGTCTGGTTCTCGTCTACGCGGTGGTTGCCCGGAGCAGGCCGCACCCCCCAAACCCCCAACCAGCCTCCACACCCCCCGCCCCTCAACCCAATAACAGAAGGTATGTGGAGCATGGCCCCTTCCAGGGTAATCTAAGTATAGCAAGTATATACATAGATGCATGTACCTGTGTATGTAAGTTTGTTTGTTTGATTCGTTCTTTGCTTCGTTGTTTCGCTGTTTCTTGGTTTGCTTCTTCGTGATTTGTTTCTTTGTTAGTTTGTTTGTTCGTTGGTTTGTTCGGTCGTTCGTTCGTTCGTTCGGTCGGATGTTTGGTTGTTTGTTTGGTTGTTCGGTTGTTTGGCTGTTTGCTTGTTTGTTTTTTTGTTTGTTTGATTGAATGTTTGTGTCGCGGGTTTGGCCCTTCGCGGGTTTCGATCCTCGCTTGCCCCTCGCGGGTTTCGCCATTCGTGGGTTTCACCCCTCGCGCGTTTCGCCCTTTGTTTTGCCTGATCAGGCTGGATATCCCATCCGCAACCGTAGCTTCGTCGCACACGGTGGGCCGAGGATGCCGTGTGCCCCGGTAATCGCTTGGCACAACAGACAAATTACAGATCACCATGTACAGGTGCGCGCACAAACACACACACACACACACACACACGTATGTATATATACATATATATATATGTGCATATATATATGCGCCTCATCTGCCTGTCTCATGTCATGTCATTGTGTGACTCTCTATGCCTCGGCCACCGCCTGCGCAACCGACTTCGACCTTGGCTCGGTGCTCGCCGCACCGTCGTCCGCCTTGACACAGGGCGGTTCAACGCAGCAGCCGTGAATCCCCTCACGTACCAAGGTCCGCACATCAACGCTGAGAAGATCAGCGTCAGTCGGCGGTCGAGCGGTTGCTTCGTCTTGTCCTCAAGCCGCAGATATGCCGTCACTTGTTTACTGTGGTGCTGATATGCATTGACTCCTTTGAAGCCATGCATCAGCATCGGCATCGGCGCCTGCAGGTCGTGTCAGATGGACCAGGCGGAGACAATCCGTAGAACCAAGATAAGCAGAACAGTCCTCAACGTCAACAACCTCAGGCTCGCTTTGCCTGTGCGGTCCTGGTGAAAGCGGATGCGCTTCCAGATCGCAGAGACAAGCGCTGCACTCTAATCTGGCATGAAGTCTCTGCACAGATGTCCTCCCCGGTCTCCGGCATGCTCCTCCTCGTCCTCCTCGCACGTTTGAGCATGTCTCCATCACGTTTTTGATAGGGCCACACTTATCACCGCACAGTGTGGAGATCAAACAGATGGGCACATGCAACAAGTTTCGGTTCTCCCCAGCTCCACACACAAATTCAGTACGTCTTTCCCGGTCTTTCCCCTCTCGCGCCTCAACATCCAGCACGTGAAGCGCAGACAGAGGGAGTCCTTCAAGATGCTACACTGCATCCGACTAATTACGGTTCCTGCCAGGGCTCCTGTGGATGGAGTTGTCTTTGCCTCCTGTCAAATGGAACTGTCGAAGAATTCATCCTCTTCTGCAGCAACACTTTGCAACTTCCAGAACTGAAGAATCAACCAATGGGGCCCAAAAAAGGCACACGCATTGAGGGCAGGTAGATGCAGAACCAAAGCAGAAAAATCCGGACTGGCAACGCTCGAGAACTAGCTTCCACGGGCATTTTTTCCACTCGCCAGGGCATCAAAGGCTGCGGACTCAATCTCTCACTTGGCCCGAGGCCTGTCCGTCATCATGTCTGTACGCTCTCAAGACCCCAGTGCACATCTCAGATCCAAGCCGAAGCCAGACCCAGTGCTGGTCGTCATTCCCCCAGAATGCCAAGAATGACCTTCCAAGGCCCGCTGCAAACACAAGAATCGAGGCTCAGTGCCAGGATGGCGGACTCTTTGGCATCGCAAGGATCCATGACGGGGACTCGGTAACCGCTTTTCTGCACCTCGGGCAGGAGCCTACCTGTCTGACCACGAGCCTCAAGGTCATGCAGTAAAGCTGCAAATGTAAGTGCCGTGAGTGCCGCACAGGCTGCACTGCCATTCCGCAGAGCATCGCGAGCGCGAGAATCACGAGTTCGTCACCTTTACAAGCACTTCGAATCATGGTTACAGCCCAGATGGTAAAGCCGAGACCCAAGCAGTGGGTAAGAGCATCCACTTAGAGACTCGGTTCGCTGTGCTCAGGACCTTCCTCGCTTCCACGCAGCGACTCCACCCACCTGCATCTTCCCAAACCATTCGTTGACAGAGAAAGCAAAGCAAGCGAAGCAAGCCCCGAAACCGCCCCAGCAACGCGTAACTGCCTGTCGTAGGTGGGAGGGGTTCCTGCATCAGGTAAATACACCTGCCAACTTGGGAATGGCTGCATGAGCGCCAGTACTTAGCTGCGCAATCAAGCAGGCCGAAGCGGCAGGATGAAAGAATGGAAGGAAGAACTCCTGCCCATTTCGCAGCTTACTGAGGCATTCGTGCAGACCATGCGGCACCTTGTCATCCCGCAGCAACTCGCAAGCCGCATGCCGGAGGGCATCTGCCATGCGACCTGATGGGACAAGCCTTCGTGCAAGAGTCATGCACACGTACTACATCCTCCTACCACTTTCTTAGCGAGTCATGCCTTCACCATTTCAGACGGTTGTTGATTGTTGGAATTGCCCTTCGCCGCGAGGGATGGGCGCCGCACGAGGGTGCTGGAAAACACTTACTTATGCCACTACGACTGCCAATCTGGCCATGGGAAGTTGCTACTTGTGCCGGCATGCAGCACTCTCGGGTGCTTTTGGAATTTATGCATACCGGTGTAATGATAGTAGAGACGTTGAACGTCATCCTATGATTCTCTACTGTATATAGAAAATGCCCGGAGGATGCACTAGAAAACGAGCACTAACTTGCCTCGTCCTTGGCTGCTACGGAGGCTCGAGTGCACGAAGAATGTGTAAACCCGACTCTGCAATCTGGCTAAAGGACGCCTACACTTCCGCCTTTGCAACGAATGTTGCTTCCTTCGCCTGCCGACATCTGCCGACCCTAGCACACCAAAACAGCATTCTCGCGACTTCCAGCGCTTCGTTTCTCAACAAAAATAGCACAACAAGTCCTCGCTCCTAGCTTGTGTCTGCTGGTAGGTCTGAGAAGCGGGGGGATCCGCTAAACGTTATATTGGGGACTGTGGCAAACCCAACAAGCGTCAGCGGCACAGAGGCAGAAGCCTAGGGTGCTGCACCTGTCTTGCAGGTGCTCGTCGATGAGCTTGGGGATGGCCTGCAACTTCTTGGCTTCTCGGTGTGAGAAGCTGAGAAAAACGAAAGGAGAGTCAACACAGCAAGCGAAACTTTGTTTTCAACCCGCTGGTGTTCCTTCCGCTCCGAAGCTTCACGCTTCTCAGCCGAAGCTTTTCAACTTCAGGCATCACTAGGGTGAAGCTTGCCTCCCACAAATGAGCACTGTTCAACCGCAGTGATGCTGTAGCACCTCATTCAAGGTTGAGCTGGTCAGGACTTGCCAACGACACCGACCGTAGTGTTCATCTGTGGATATCCTACTGCCTTCCATTTCATGGCACCAACACAGCATGAGCTGTGATGGCAACTATCTGTTAGGTCATTCAGCACCTTGGCGTCAGCGCTTCTGAGGAAGCCTGGCAACATGCCGTGACATGCCTGTGTCAAGCAGACTCCCACGAAAGAAAGCAGCTAACTGCAAGGTAGTGATATAAATGTGTCTGGAAGACGAAGTGGCCCTCTCCGGTTTCGATGCAAGTGCCACGGTGTCTTTACTGACCTTCGCTTAAAGACTCCAGTCCGAGTTCGACCTCCCTGTGGGCTCCCTGGCACAGGCCTTCGCTGGATGGACCTGGCTTGGCAACGGACTTCGGACATGATCGGACTTGGAATTGCAGGAAGTCGCAAGTCGCCTTGTCACACTGTGTCGCACATTTTGTTGGATCCAAGATGTTCTGAAACTCCTCGCCCAAAGCCTTCATGCCTTGCAGATCTGTTAAGCAGCTGCGAGCGAAAATGCAAAGCATCAGTTTTCCGTGGCTCGATTGTCATTGACATTCGGGTCCGGGCCAAATCTCTGACACATCACCTACGCTGCACAGGTTTTGGCAGTGTGGCCACAAACTCATCTTTAACCGTGGAACAACTCAGTCAAGTGTCTTTGCATCGATGATTATCCAATTTCGGCCTCACCTGACATTGCATGTGCATCTGCTGCAGAAGGAGTAAGCATAAGGTTAGCACAGCTCAGCACCAATCCGTCACGGCTTGGGTCTGGAGCACACCCAGCAGAGCTGCCAGTCCCAAGGTGCGCAGCAGCACCTGGAACATCGCTGCGTCCGAAGAAAAACAAAGGAAGAAACGTCAAAAAAAAGACCGAGGAGGCCGCCATGCCGCCGGCGCAGGGGCTTCAATGGAATGGGGGTTTTTGCTGCGCAAAGGTAGTGAGAGATGGAGGCGAAGGAGATCAAAACAGACAGCAACGGGAAACGATGCAAACTGAAAAAAACCCCCGGAGTGCTCGACTTTTTTGTTGCACAAGTACACAACTGTCACTAGAAACGCCAGAGCCTACTCGAAAATGGCCTTTGGCACTGATTCACACTGGGACTCTGCATGCGCGCACTTCAAAGGCTCGTGAACAAATTCCGGTCATCGAAACGCCCGGCCAGGATGCACAAAGCAACACTGGCGGCAGACCTTGCAGATCCTCTCGAGCTTGTTAAGCTCGAAAGATGCTGCATGACAACTGGACATATACACAAAGTGTTGCAAACACTTCTCGCATAAGTTTACATAATTTGCTGTTGCCAACTTTACTGCTGTCACACTGTCATGAACCACTCTCAATCACAAAACATTCCACCACTAAGTGAGAAAAATGAGAACCTGTGTAAGCTCGACCTTTAGCACCGGATATTCGTACTCCAAATCAACTGCAATATTCAAGCAGATTTCTTCTTTAGCCCTATGTGCGCGAGATCCAACATGGGCTCCACCAGGTCTAGCTCCATCATGAGGCGGGCCACACCTAGCATCAAGGTATGACCGTGCGATTCTGGAGTGCTGGGGCATGCTGAGCACTCAGCCCAAAAATGTGACGATGACGAAGAATTGGATAAGCGCCACCTCGTGATTCCGTCACGGCTACAAAATAGCATAAGGCACCTCGCGAACTAGAGGAATGCTGGAAAAGGCTATTGCTGCAGGAATCGGGCACGGCCACCGGACACGGCGTGGACAGTATCTAGGATTCTTGAGCGGGGAAACTCCCAGTGTTCATTAGGAGCAAGGAGTGATGTGCGAGGATGTGAGAGGTGCGAAGATCCTGGCCTCGACCAACACCAGAAGGATCCCCCACAAAGAGGTTCCAAGGAACAGGTGCAAGAGGCGAAAGACGACTCCAACAGGAGTCAGCATCAAAATGCACCTGCAGCAGTGAACTGCGCATCAGACATGCTCCGATGTCTACACTGACCCTGGTGCCCTCTGAATCTATCCGAAACTTCTGACAAGCCGCCACGTGCCAGATCTACGCCAAAATTTGTCAGATGGGTGCGTCAGACCCTTCTCGTCCAGTGCGGGGCTCAGTCGGAGGCCGTAGATATATGCCATCGCACAGCATGTCAGAAAGAAGACCGAGGTATGAAAAGCATGGAGTGCCCAAAGCAGAAAGTCAAAGTCGTAGAGCAAGTCACCAAGGCTGGCAGCACTGAGGGACCTTACGAGGCAGGCCAATCACATCGGATTGGAGAAACTCTCGATGTAAGCCGGGAAGCATGTCATGCTTGTACTGGAAGGCCACTAAGCCTGACAGCGAGCTTGGGGCACCATCAGACTTATCATATCTTATCATGATATATCTGTAACTGCAAGTTGCCGCCATGAAACCCAGCAGGCAGGGTGCACAGAGAGTGTACAGCCTGTGAAAAACAGCAACACTCTTCAGAGAAACCAGAACAGGCTATAGGCAGAAGGCAACAAGCTACTCGTTACTAGTAACATTACTAGTAGCTCTTAAGAGAGCGACATGAACACGAAGCGGTCGACGTCGGGAGCCAGCCCTGGCAAATTCTGACGCCAAAACGTGGAGGCTTCTCGGAAGACGAAGCAGACCTGCATTGCAAGTGCTCAGCAGACTACTCCGCAGCTCAGCAACATCACTGCCTCAAATAAAATGCAAATGCTTGAGGGCGCGACACAGACCATTGAAATGGAAAAGCCCCAAGTATACACAGCTTCGTACAAAGGACCAGAAGCCATGACGTCTGACAGCATGACCTCAGCCAGCCGGCAATGCGAAGGTTTTCATATGCGGCCGGGAGCCAGCTCTTTAACCAGCCTGCAGGTATTCGCTTTGAGACAACAGCCGAACAGGCCAAAAACATGGTGACAGATGTGACAGCACTTGTGCTACCATTCTACCAATTCGGCAAGTCACATTTGGAAGCACGACATCACCACGCCAAAGAGCGATCACCTTAGTACATCTTGGCTTCTGACACTCTCTGACCTATGGCCTAGGGCCGTCCCATCCAGGCCGGCAAGACGATGTAAAAATCCGCGCGAGGTCACTCTTGTGTTCTCGCGCGACCATCTTCGATCGCCTACAGCAAGCAGATGTCCTGTCATAACGCATCACCAACCACGTCCCTGCCACGGTTCAGCGGCATTACATTTGGGCATGGGTTTGGGGACTTGCATGGCCCAACCTGCACGTTCATCGCTTCGCCCATTTTAAATCTAAGAGTCTAGGCCTTCTCACAAAGTGTTTCGCTTCCGTCCGCATAAGGACCACAAGTGACACAAGATTTGAGGTTTCATCGCCAAAAGCTAGCTGCTGGCACAAGCGACACCTGATCCCTTCTGCTGCCCATCATGATCGCATCCATACAGTCCATGCAGCAGAGGTGCTGGTAGCACAATGTTGAGTACGGTCGCCGGAATCCAACCAACCGCAGCCACGCAGGCTCTGAAGCCCATTATGCCCTGCACCTTACTTACGCAGCAGCCAAAGCTAAATACACACAATGGAATATGCGCTCGCTACCAGGCAGGCTGAGGCACCTTGGCCTGGGGAGATTCCAACATCTCGGCACCGCCACTCGACATGTGTCTGGCACAGTGCCAGTGCCTCAGAGCTTCGTGCTTGTTCCACTAGCAGCCACCTCATGCGTGTGCAACTGGCTTTCCAGAAGCTTTGGGCAGAACGTCAATGTAGGGAAGGCTGTGCCGGCAGTCTGTCTTCTATAGCTACATCTTGCTTGGACCGAGTTCGGAATATTTGCAGGACGGCTCAGGCCAGGTGAGGTCGCCGGATCTGCAGTGACATGGTGCAACGAAACAGTTGCCCGCGCCTGAGCAGTTGGTGCAATGGCTTCGAGCTGGTCACCGAGGGTCCCCAAAAGCTGCGCATCTTCGCGACCTAACCACGAAAGTGCGCAACGATATACGTAGCATACCGCTGCCCTGAGTGGACCTTGGAGTCGCCGATCTGCCAAAGTGATGGCACAGGTCAGGAACCTCTGCATTTCAAGGCGAAATCGGCTTCACTGCGTTCTCCCAGCCTCTCCCTGAGGGCTTCACATGCAAGAGTTGCTATGCTTCTCGCTGTACTGACCTGGACCGGTTGCTTTGCCCGGGGCTTCCAAAGATGTAGCAATTCTCAACAAGCTGAAAGATTTTGAGTTGTCAGCCGAGGTCCACGACTTCGACCTTATGGCACGTGCAACAGAATCCAGCTACTTCAGAGTTCAGCTTAGCGCCCAAGACTTGGCCGGACGCGCTGATCCCATGATGCCTTTTCGCCAACTCGGGGTACCTGTTCGGTCGTGTGCTCAAGGCATCGGCTTCGTGCTTCAGTCAAAGGTCACACGGTCGGAGTCGGCTCGCCCGCGGCTGGCCTTCAGACGGCCACGGCTGAGGCGAGCGAGAGCAAAGCACTGGCCCAAAGGCCTGGCGGGCCTGGCTTGTCTTGCCACGGAGAGCCAAAGCAGCTGGACAGCCTTGAACAAAGCTCGCAGAAGTCGACTGCCATGGAAGGAGCAATGCTGCTGGCCTTCGGATCGACGTTTGCAGATTCTGCCAGGTTCCGAATCACGTCCTGCTCCTCTCTTATGTCGCCGAAGATTGCGCGACTTTCCGAAAGAATCTCGCTGGCGCATGATGGTGCATGTGCCTCCTGCCCGGTCTGCATCGCACCGACTTGCCGCCACTCCTGAAGCTGTGACATGCTGTGCTGTGCGCCGATTGAAACATGCAGAGTGCCTCGAGCAGAATACGAAGGTTCTGCTCCATATCCTTGCTTCGCGTGTGAGAGCTTGACGACGCTACAACGCGGAGTACCATTCAGCGCCCAACTGCTGGAGTGCCCTTCGCATGCAGTTGACCCTTTTCGGCACAATCTCGGGTATGAGGCCCTGAGTCATGCTATGACAGGCCAGCACAGAGTCACCACATCGACTGTGCCAGGCCTTCTGGACCACAGCAGCGGGTGCAACAAGTGGGAAATCTCCCGAAAGCAAAGCGGCCTCTGGGCTAGTGCACAAACGGCTGCATCAGCGCTGGATACAAACAGCAAGCTGCGTCAGCTACCACCACGCTGCGGCCAAGATCACCATCGAAACACAGCAACCAACACCAGCAATTGAAATATATTCAAAACGCAACCGCCACCAAAAAACACCTCCACTCCACAACCATGTCAACCATGATGACACCGATGATCGCAAAATCTACACACGCCTCGGCAAAGGATGTTCAGGCTGACACTACAGCACTGCGTATGGCACTGCGGAAGCACGACAAGCGCTGTTCCGATACTTGCGTCGCTTCTGTGGACACTGTGCCCTGGCAGGGTCATTGGCGAGCAGGATGTAACAGAAAAATTGCAATTTTGATGCCATTCATACGGCTGACAATCCGCCGAGGCCACCGGCCCACAGCGCAAGCGGTTGGACGCACCCGTCTTTTGGCACCTCCCCGCCCGGCTTCGCCTGATTTTACCTTTGTCTTCTGGACCCCCCCCTACCCCCCCTACCCCCCTCTCCCCCCCTTTCTCCTTTGCCTTGCCTTCTCCACGCAGAATTAACTCCATGTCTTCCGCTGGTCACTTTTTGGTGTTTTTTGCGTTTTTTGGGCCCTCCCTTCTCCCCCCCCGCTACCCTCCTCTCCTCCCCCCCTCCTACCCCGCGCCCCTTCCGTCTGCCCCCCCGCCCTGCTCTTGTCCGCTTTGCAAATGCTGATTCTTCCAGCTTACCTTTCCGTTCACCCCTTACCCCCCCTCCCTGCTCCTGCCCCCCTCGCTCCTGCCCTCCCCCTGCTTTGTCCACTGCTTGGGACCAGCTTGGCCCAGGTAACAGGCAGGTCACATTTGAAGAGGGCGTTGGTGCAGTAACGCCCAAACTACTCTCTCCACGCTACTCTGGCACGAATCTTTGCATGGCAACGGCAGCGTGCAGCTGCCTGACCGTTGACCCTACACCCACTCTCCAAACTTGATTGCTGACACCTGCCGTTGAATACACATACTCACACACACACACACACGCACCTCTCCAGACTTTCGCGTGGCTTCCGGCCACCCGCCGTGCTTGCACTACTCTGGAGGATCGAAGGCAATCTTGAGGAAGTCTATTTGCTTTCTTCCTCCCACGAACTCTGGACTTCTGCTGCAGACATGCACCAACGCTACCGACGCCTCAACCGTGCCCTCTGCCCCTCAGCAGCCGAGCCGCGCGGCATAGCGTTAAAATTAACACCAAAGGAGCAACTGAGATCTTTTTTCGACATCGTCGCCAAAGTGCTGCTAGCGCGAAAACTCGTTGGCTCGAGCATTGTCTGCGCATGTGAACTTTCTGTGCATGTCAAGTTCTTGTAACCACGTAGCAGTAGAACGATCGTGATATCAAGTCAACGGCTGTGCCTGCTCAACTGTTCATCAACAATGCCCGATGACACTGCAGTCTTTCGGGTGTCAGGCTTCCGAAACACCGGACACAATGATGGGGTCAGCATGCGCACTGTGCATATTACGGTGTCCGTTGGGTGTCCGCACCGAGGACGATGAAAAATTTGTCAACTGGGCGCTGCGCGAGCGTGCTCTGCGCGTCACGGGCATTTTCCTGACCTTGCACTCATGTGAAGCATGGGTGAGCTGACTAAGTACTCATAGGAATGCAACAGAAAGGTAAAAAGGCATGACTCCTTATGAAGGGCTGCTGGGCCGACTCGCTCACAAGAAAGGACAACCTCCGACACCCTCAGTGTGAGCCAACGCGTCCGATGCTCACGAACCAAGGCCTGACGGGTCGTACTCAGCGACTGCAAGCATCAACAGAGCCGGGTCCCAGAGTGCCAGCACAGGGTTCCCGCGTGAAGATGAAATCAATCTGAGTGCGGGCTTAACCCTGCACGTAGGTGAGGAATAGTGTCTACAGTGCCAAGTGTTGAGTGCACCCAGGCGAGGCTTGCTGACCAGATTAGTCAGATTAGTTTCATCTGGCCTTGGGTCATTCGGCAATGCCATGCTGGAGCCTACAAGCGACTGTGTCAGGGTCAAGGACGTATTAAAGTCTCCGTCTCCAACCACTATCAACGTGTCACGCTGCGGCACCTGCTTCACTGCTTTGGTCAAGACAGATAAGACAGCGGCTCTGTCACTTCGGTTGTCTTGTTGTGTCTTGAAAGACGACCACACATGTTGATAGACGGCCAAAATGGCCAGTCTGGCACCTGCCCAGTAGGCCCGGACTTCAAAGACCGGTCTGCCATTTGTTGAATCTGGGAGAAAAGAAAACCATGAGGCCATCTGCTGGCGTGGTGGAGGGGGGTTTGGACGGTTACCGTAAATTCTGAAGACGCTTTCCAATGGATTTCCTGCACGATCAAGATGGGTCACCGAACTTGTCTGCTTCAACCTGCAACCATGTCTTTTTCTCAGCCCACTGCAGCTGGCCAAGATGCCCTGCAATCCACAATAGAACTCGCACTGGGCGGCTCTGTTGTCCTGCACGCCTGGTAAGACGGACTTGAGAGCAGGGCGGACGAAAGCTAGGGACAAGGAGTTGAAATGCCGAGGAACAAGAAGGCAGAGAGACGTTAATCTTATATTCGGCGTCAGGGCGGCAGACGGCGTGCCAAACCCTGCAGGAGAAATTACCAAGCATGCTGCAATATACACAAAACAGCAATCACAGAAGCTCAACTCGCAGGGGGCCTTCGGGAGGGGGAGGGGCTTGAGGAGGAGGGGAGGGGGCCTTCCCCCCCCCCTAATCGAAACGGCCAGC